GTACCCTCAGCTTTAGGCACCAAGATAAAGGCCTAAATGTGATAGTTTGGGGCAGGGGACTTTTAGTGGGTTGAGCACACAGCTGAGAGGGCTACCCAGATCCTCGTAGCATCTATCCCTAAAGTATATTCTTCCCCTACCCTGTCTTTTTACAAACCCTCACCTCTTTGTCTTCCTCTCAAGGCTTGAAGACAAATGAAGCAGCATGAGAGAATGAACATAGACTTAGCTTGTCAGGTCTGAGATCTAGATTTCTTTTGCCACTAACTCAGTATATGAGCTTAGACAATTCACTTGCCTATCTGGACCTTTAAATGAAAGGGTTGAAATAGATTACCTCTCTGGGCTCTTTCACATTTCAGATCAATTCGTACTTGAGAAATCAATGAATGAATTAGAAGAAATTTTAATTCTGAGACATAGGTAACCTGCATCTCTGTGAAACAGCTGAAAGGAGGTAAAGGTCAGGTTCCTATTTATTGTACATTTTAGCTATAGGAAAATAAGCAAGTTTATCTATGGAGAAATAGAACCTGGCAGCCCCTATACTTGACTATTAAAGCAAATTCCTAGAAGCAGCAGAGAAATAGGCCACAAGTGAGACCTGGCAGTGTCAAAAAGGTCTATAAATTAAGTGATAAAAGGAGTAAAAAACAATGGCTATAACCAGACAAGATCTCTAAGCAGAGACTAAAGTCTAGAGAGGTCTGGGTGGGAAGGAACCCCTGAAGCTTCTATTAGAGAAAAGGACTTGGTCCACAGCAGGTTGCTACTGCATTTGGTTCAAACCCAGTTTTTTCAATCTGTCAACCTGGTGCATGTACATATGTGCAGACATGTTAGAGGCTGCAGTTATGCTTCTGAAGTGCTGAAATGAGAAAGAAACAGAAGAAATTATACCAAATTCAAAGAAGTTAGTTTGAATGCAAGTACAAGTTTAGTTTAAAAGCTACTCATTTTCCCCACCACTGTGCAGATCATCAGTGCTCCTTCTGAAATGTGGACTCAAGAGTTTTGTGGGATGGGGTAGAGAGGGGTGTATTTGTAGTATGATTTAAGGCCAAAGGCAGGACACAACCCAATATCCTGTGTGAGAAACCCTCTGGTTAATGGCAAGTGGATTTGACTTGATCTGACCCATCTGCGTACTCACTTGTCTTCATTCAAGGAAACTGCCTCCACAAAAGGGATTTCTTCCTTATCTGTCTTCCCCATGATCAGCCGGTGTTTATCCAAGTTTATGATGCACTGAAAACAAAGGAGAATCACTGGCTACTGTCAATGATCTCACTTTGGGGGTATCCTTGTAAGATGACCCCTGCCTAAGAGAAGAAGAAGTGAAGGGAAAGTAGAATCAATCCTACCTTCAGGGATCGGAGAGTCTGGAGACCAAGAGACAAGTTTTTCTCATTGTCTTCTAATAAAAAAATAAATAAAATTCAGCCATTTTTATGCTGGTTTAGAAGTCAGCCTTATCACCATTAGATTCCATCCATCCAACCAACCATACATACATATATCCATCCAATAAACATCTATTGAGCATCAAAATTAAGTAATTTTCCCAGATCAATATAGTTAAAAGGCAATAGAGCTAAGATTCAAACCCAGGTCTTTTTAAAACTAAGGAAAAGAGGCCTTTAGACAAAAACCAAGAACTTAGAGTAGTCTAGAATAGAATACACGAGGGAAAGTATGAGAGATGGTGGGAAATTATAAAGAGATTTATGGCAAAGTAGTAAGAGGATCTTGCCTTCATGGAAAGCTTTCAGGGACCATTTTCCCTGGCACACAAAATGTTTTGCCCCTTGAGGTTGTTTTTTTTTTTTTTTAATCATGAGTTACACACTCCACTTTCTGAGTGATTCTCAACTTGTCTTGAATGTAGCTCAAGGCCCAAGTGATACTTCGGAAGGCAAAAATATAGACCTTGGGACAAGGTCTATAGAACAAAGTAGAAACCTGGGATTTTGAAGAAGTCAATATTTACAGGCATGAAATCTCATGAGGGTTTGGTAGAAATAGGGAGAAGAGTTACATTAGGGATCCATAGCTCTAAGCCCAAATTCTACTCACCAACCACAGCTGCTGGACAGTCCAGGCGGAGGGAGCCCAATGTGATCACTAGGTGCTCAATCTGGCCCACTACTTTCAGATGCCGAGGTAGAGAAAGCTTCTCTGCTTCATGCCTGTGAGATCTGACATGCTCCTTGAGTCTGCATCGGAGAGGAAGATACCAGAATCCTCTTGGCAGAGGTTTCTGATGGAATCTGGCAATGCTTACCTTATGACCCATAGTTGAGATTTTCCAAAGACTTCCTGGGATTAATCTATCCAAAAAGTGCACGCTAGCCTACACTTCTTGTTTCAGGACTTTGTCCTATACCTGCCTGGGGATAAACAAACAAACAAACAAACTACAGATTCAGCTCCTGTTCTCAAAAGGCTATGCTACTATCTGCACTGGTAAAAGACAAGTTGACATACTCAGAGAATCCTATTCTGCATCCTAACATCTCTACCTATGTGCAAGGCAGTTTAGTTAGTTAACATGTCCTTTTACCCATCTGTGGATAAGAGATCTCAGAGAGGGCAGGTTAATCCTAATTTTAGAAGATACTTTGTTCAATGTCTAATTTTCTATTTGTTGTTTCTATTTCAGTCTATCCTTATCAATTAGTCTTGGGCTATAAAGTTAGTAGTGGTAAGTGCATTGATATTGATATCAGCAAGGAATATCATGGAGAAAGTATTAATTAAACTTGTCTGTGCAGGGGAGGAAGGAAAGAAACAGCACCAAGGTTATGTAATGTGATTGGATTGGAACAGCTAGCACCCGAGCTATTAACTTTTGGTGGATAAATACTTAATTATGGACTTTCCGTGCCAATACTTCTACTTTACTCCATTTCCTCTCTTTTGGTGTTATAGCCCATCCAAAAGAAAAATAATTGCAGTTTTACAGATGGTTATTAATTCCTCTGGAATCATGGCAGTCTGCTGCCTAATTATGTACCAGGACGTTATTAATCTTTCTGGAATGATCATGTTGCACTATATCTCATCTTTTTACCATATAAAAAAACTCAAGAGTCTTCTCACAAGAACACTTGCATCCTGGACTCCCCCACAGCAACCATTTATAGCAATGTACAAAACCCATAATGGCAGCTTCAAAGAGTCACAGTGATAGTAAGGGGTGAGGACAGGGGAGAAAGGAACAGATCATGTGGCAGAGGTCACTGATTATACAAATCAAGTCTTGTGTAAGCCCTACCTAAGAATATGGACATCTTGAAAGTAGCTTAAAATGGGTCATTACATCTACCTTAGTGATGTTTCAATGCAGAGATTTAGACTAGGGAATGATTTGTCGCAATTAGGGTTACAAAAGTAGAAAAGGATATTGGGTTGATCCTCCCATTTCTGGGCTAGACCTCAGGACCCGTCCGGCATTTTGGAGGAAAGAGAATGAAAGCAATAAAAGTACAGATTGAGTGAAAAGGAAGAAAGATACAAAATGGCTTTCTCTGTCTAAAAGACGGAGAACCCATTACAGCTGTTAGAGAACTAAAGACATTCAATATATGAGATGTTTGCCTCAAAATTACTAGTAGGGGCAGCAGTAAGATCTGATTTTACATGTTCTTCACAGAGAGAAAAGCACCAAGATACTATTGGTTTATCACCCTCGAAAGGTTCAGGCCCAGCAGCAATAGCAGCCCTATTCCAAGTTCTGATTGATACTTCTTGGGACAGGTACTGTGACCTCCAGAAGGACCCTGAGTAAGTTAGGCCAACCACATCCCTGCTTTTACTCACCTGGAGTACACCAACAAGACAGCGCCGTCTAATTTGTTTTCTGGGCAGGGCACAAATCAGGATCAGGGCATGGTACACAATGAGCCAAAGATCTTTCATTCTCATTCTAGAGCCCAAAGTTCTGAGGCTTTCCTGGCTGAGTGACTTTTCCCCAGTAACTGAGTACCCACCACTCTGTCCCTCTACTAAGGGCTGGTTCCAGCTGATATTTGAGCTCTGCACACTTCTCTTGGGGCCTCTGTGGAAACCCACACCATCTC